AAAAAGTCGTTGGGTGCCCCCGACCTCTACAGTGACGAACTTTCCTTCGCACTGAAGACCGATCAGTTTCTACTTCAACTCGGCCAAACACCAACACGACGAATGTCTACAAAGAACGAGTTCGTAGATTCAAGTCTTTGAGCGCTACTAAATCCTTTAATAGGTTTATCTCAATTTACTTTTAAAAGCATGTTTTTAGAAGGAATTAAAGACTTTCCCAGTACTCACAAAATTATAAAAGTTGGGCCGACATTTTTTTCACTTTACTTCATTGGGTGCTACGCGGCGGGGCCTGGGAACTGGTAATAAACAACTAAACAAACTGAACTGATAACCTCAAAGTCGAGATCAGACCTGGGTCAGAAAATCATAAATCATAGGTAGCTGCCCTGTGCGAACAGCAATTATATGAACGCCTGGAACAGGCTAAGCAATTAGAAATTCTTGTGAAGGCAAAACCACAACGACAAACCAGTGAGGGTGCGCCGGATGTTTAGTAGACCTGGATCAGCAAAATCTTGAGTACCAAATTATAAATTTAAAACAGTAAACTGATCCTTACGGTAGGAAGAGTGATAGAAAAAAATAAATAAAGAAAACAAAAATAAAGTGGTGAATTATATTTGCTCGATATTTCGGTTTGCAACACAAACCTTCAACGGAGGCTGTAACCGGAAAAATGAATACAGATAAAAGATGAACGTTACATATGCGAGATTTGAGAACATAGCAATCAGAAAATGATAGGCTATAAATGTCACTAATTAAGTCCATCACGTCTATTCATACCATGAGGTTCTAAAGTCATAGCTTTGTCAATGAGGTGAGTCTCGCGTGCCTTTAATTTCTGACAGAGTCACGGTTGCTACAGATTAGTTCTAAGAGAAATCGAATAAGAAGGGCGTCGTTGATAGAGTAATCGCCTTGATTAAAATGTTCGGAGACAGGAGTAGGATTGGGAAAAGGGCCATAGTTGAGAATGGAGCGGCGATACTCCCCAAAGCGTTGGTGAAGATGGCGCTTGGTCTGAATGTACTGTTTGCCGCATTTTTTGCATTCAATGAGATAGATAAGGATTTTGGATTTAATTAGTGACAATTATCTGTTTAGTAGCCTAATCATTTTCCGTTTGCTATGTATTCAAACCTCGCGTATGTAAAGTTTATCTCTTATCTGTATTAATTTTTCTTTTTTAGCCCCCGTTGAAGGTTTGTGTCAAACCGAAATATCGGGCAAATATAATTCACCACTTTATTTTTGTTTTCTTCCTTTATTTTTTGTATCACTCTTTCTCCTGTAAGGATCAGTTTACTGTTTTAAATTTTTATTTTTGATTCTGAGCAATTAGGGCTGTCGTGTCATCATACCGCCGTCACTCGACTGTGTGGGTAACTAACCCCTTTGCACTGTCTGAATAAACCTGTTGTCGATGGCTTTCAAAAGGATTTTTGCTGGTATTATTGACCTTTAAAGTCCGCTGCTAAAGCTTTGACTCCGAATAAGAGCTATTCAAAATGAAAAATGCTTTGCTTTTGAGAAAGAAAATGAAAACAAAGTAAGGTTGACAGGGGCACCCAACGACCGTTTTCTGGGAAATGATCTGAAATGGCTCGTTATGCATCCTGGTGTGCTTTAAAAGCAATATAAATGAATAATTCGCATCGCTAAAAAAATTTGATCTGTTCGGTCGTCCTAGGAGTGGTTTGACCCTCTCGAATTTTTTAGGGCTGTTTTTCGCCTTTCCCGAAAATAACAGCCTACAGTGAAAGCTTTCCGAAAACGTAAGATTACCTGACGAGCTTTTCCCTTGACCGAAATTTTTAGGGGTCCTTTCAAGTTTTCTCCGAAAACTTTATCTAGTGTGAGAATGTCTCCGAATTTTCTAGGGCGACGTAGAATGTATAGAAAATTCTAGGTGTAAAAGAAAAGGCATTTAAGTGATTTTAAAGCCAGTTGAAACGTCTAATGAATGTATAGAAAATTCTAGGTGAAAAAGAAAAGGTATTTAAGTGATTTTAAAGCCAGTTTCAAACGTCTTGTACCCTGCCAAACTCAATTCGCACGGCTCTTACGGAAAAATCTGAAATACGGCATGGCACTGACTGATTACAACGCACATTGAACGCAGTCAGCTAAGGCAGTTGGCAGAGTTGGGATCAGTTGGAATAGCCCAGGGCACGGCTCAGTGTTCTCTTCTTCAGTGTTCTGTTCTGTTTTTTCTGTTCGTCCCCAAGGGGTAAGGTGCTCTGGGTGCTAAGGTAATACAGTGGGTAATAGGAGAGGACAGCTGATGGGGGGAATCTGAAGAATAGGCCGAATAGGTCCAGTAGTAAAGATCAGAAAGATCAGAAGATTACGCGCTTTATTACAGTTCTTTGAACAGTTTAAACAATTGTTTAAATCAGGTACTGTTTCCTGTGTTTCGGCGTCAGTGTGTCCTTACGAGTAATTGCTGAAACAGAAATTTGGTAAGAAAACACTCAGAACACGAGCTGAGAACACTGAAATAACCAAGATTCTGGAGTCTGGAGATTCCTCCAAGTATAGATAATAATTTACAATTATCTGAATTATTAGGTGAATTATCAGCTGACGATGACAGTGAATTATCAGGCTGAATTATNTTCAGTAATAGCTAACTGGCTTTGTGAGAGGTCAATATGGTTCCTCAAGATGAACACGGCCTGATAAATTTTAATTAAAAGGAACGCGGAGGTTAAATGCACAGCTATTTGGACATTTTACTCGAGGAGAGTTCAGTGAAAGCTTTGAAGAGAAAGATACACTGTAGCAGTCGACATATCTTCCTTGCCAGATTTGACACGAATTGCTTGTGATATCCACGCCAGCGAATAGAGCAACTGATTTTCCAAAATGCCCGTTACCAACCTTAAGACAAGCCTTGAAAACAAGGCCTTCTTCGTGAGGCTATCGAAGATCGGCACAGCAAGACATAGCAGAGAACAACAATTTGCTAAGCTATCCAGCTCAAGGCAACAGGAGTTGGAGGAGCTCTACAAAGGACACTCTCCACGTTACAGTAAGGTAGCAAAGACGGACAAAATGGCTAACTTGTTAGTGCAAATTCTTCAAGTGCAGGAAGTGCAGACAATAAAAGAATATACTTTGAGTGGGTATACCTTTAAAGTTCACGTGCTAGAAGACACGGAGTTGTAAAGGTTGCGACAATCGTGGTGCTACGAGATTTGTGCAGTAAGACATTTGTTGTATAAGAAAAACATCTGTTGAAGTACCATTTAACTGCGTAGCCCTCAGAAGTTAAGACAATTATAATAATTGGGTTAGACCTACGTGCGAACAAGTACATTATTTATTTCGATTCAAGTAAGCTTCAACTGAGATAGTATACTTCCAGAAGTAGAGGGACAGAGAGGAAAAGAGTTCCTGACTGAAGGGGAAATAAAAGGGACACAGAAAAAAGAAAGGTTTGACATTGAGCCTTGCAGCTGTGTTATAACTGTTCATCAAAATTCATTTCGTCGGCCATCCATTAACATTTTGTTGAGGTTGAGTTGAATTTCACAAACAATGCACACTGCTTGTCATAACATAAAGAAAACATTTTAGCGCTAAAGAAAACATATCTCCCTAAGAGACAATGTGTTCATACCTGTGAATTTTGTATTAGCAGAGGTGTTGATGTAAATATCTCAACTAAACTTTTTTAACTTGAGAGGGGGTTCCGCTTTCGTTCCTTGACTCAAAATACGTAATGTATGAGGAGGGCTATTTTTTTCGGTGTCTGTAAAGTTGTACTATCGAGAAGGGAATCTCAAGCATCAGTAGCATTTAGTGGGAGATAATTACATTTTATCCAATCATTGTTTATTCTTTATCTTTATTTAATTTAGTTATTTGTGCATAAGGGTCCACCTTTTACAAAAATAGTAATCAATAAATTTGGGTAAATTAAGTAACAATATTTATTTTTCAGCATATTTTTCCATTTGCTACTAACGCCTTACATTTTACCGTTAGTATGGACAAGCTGATACCAGTTGGCAATGTTCAATAAGTTGCACATTAATGGACAAAAATTTTTATTCGCTTTCAAGCCACAAACTGTGTTCGCAATAATAGGTTGAGTAAGATCTTCGGATTAAGAAACTGCCTTAGTTTGCTTTTTTCTCCAGTAACCGAGCTACCACGAAAATATTATTATAACTGAATTAGATTTTAGGATTATTAGGGGCACTGATAAGTACGCCGGGGTCATCAGTCCGAACTATGAAGAATCCAATCATATCACATGAAGAAAAATAATTGGTAATTAATAATGAAAACAGACTGGCGAACTTCAAAGACGAAAACAACGAAAAAATAACCAAAATGCAATTCTTAAAGTATTCAGACTGTAGAAACTAGAAATATGGCGGTATATATAATGCTAACCGACTCCCTAATTAGTTGATTAACTCTGCCAAGGGAAGGACTAGTTCGTTGTTTCATATTGTAGTATAGTGCCACTCTCCAGCGGTTTGAGAATATCTTCATATAGCAAGGCGAGTTTCTCGTTGCTAAGCATTTTAGCGTTAGCAGTTAGGCGGGAATCTTGCAGAACTTTAACAGGATCAATAGTGGATGCAAGGCAAGGTACGCTAGCTTGCCGCTTCAGGGTCTTGTTATAACTTTTGCAGCATCTGTTGGATTCTGGCTCAAGCACACTGGACGATCTTGCACGCCTTCAAAACAACAACAACAACAACAATAATAATATTAATGATAATAATAATAATAACAATAATAATAATAATAATAAATGAGCAAGTAAATCAAGCAAGTAATTACTTGATAACACAACCTGCAAATTGCACTTAAAAATGCGAATTTATCCTTGTTTTGGTTACAAAGTCATTTTTTGAAGTTACTCGCACACCGATGTTATTCTTGACAGATTAACCAAGATGAAAACATTTCATAATTACAAAAAAAAAAGGAAAGAAAGAGAAAAAAAAATTAAGTTGTGTCTAGATTTAGCTAATCAAATTAGAAAGTACGCTCTAGCAACGGAGAAATTTATACATGGAATAAAGAGGTTTACAATTTAAGAATTTTTTTTTATTTTGACAGTATGGACCGTTTACTCAGTGCAAAGTTCATGTTCATTTTCTTAAACAGTATATTTTACTGAAAAAAAGGCATAACGACGTTGTACTCTACTAACTTTTACTTCATTCTGGTACCACTTTTTCAATCCCTCTCCTACCTTCTCTGGTGCTTATGGACTTCGTGTCCTTTA